TTTTCTCGAAAAAATCACGTTAGTTTAATAGTTCATTTGTAGTGGGGCCCACTGTGCACTGTCGGCAATTCTGATCTCAAATTCCTCCCCAAAAATGCAAAGACAATTCCTGTGATCAAAAGTATATACCCATTGCCACGCATTCGATGACGAGCTTTGAGGTCACTGCACAGAGGTCTAGAGCGATAGTTGCTTATAAATGATAAGCATTACAAGACTGCATTCCCTTCCGACTACATTGCTTCCGATTTTGAAGAGAATGCCGATCAAAACAACGGCGATGGTACCATGTTAATAAGAGCGCGCTAATTTACGACTATTTCCTTTTCATGAATTAAAGAAGATGCGGTTTTATTCCGAAACTCAGGCAGATAAGCAGTTGCAAAATTGCTGTTCAGGAACGCTAGTTTACAGGATTGTAAATAATCATGTAAACACATTTTGCGCCTACGCTTGGAGTTTAAAGCATTCAATTTTTTAATCTATGTAATCTGGAAAACTGTATAACTTTTGTTCAGATGTGCCGATCACAGTTACTCTTCCCAGCTGTACGTGGCTTCACATGAAAATGGTATGTACGATGCTGAAGATTCCATAGATTTGACCACAGAAGAGGAGGATGAGGATGGGATAAGCCAGGCTGTATCAGAAAGGTATTGTGTATCTTTTTTTCTGTGAGAGTGTAAGTAGTTTGATATGAATCATCCAGAAAGTACCGTTGTATTTTTTCCAGAATAGTTCATCTGGATGAAGACAGTGGTTCTGTTCCGGAAGACGAAGGTCGACCAGCTCGTCAAGTACCCGAGCAGCAGTCGTCGAAAGTTGTTCCAGACATAGGAATAAATAGATCTGGTCCACTGGTGGGTGGACGAGCGTTGCGACCGCGCAAACGAAAGGTAGGTGCCTTCAGTCCAAGTTCCTGTCGGTTTACATTTTCGCACAGCGTATCAAAATTTCATCTATTCTAATCACATTTCTGCTAGGAATAGATAAATCTCGCGAGCCCTGATGTGAAGCAAAAGTTGTGCGACAAATGAGAACTTTTTGGTCACGGAGATAAAGCTGTTGTCGGTGTTTAATATACCACCGATCGTGGAAGGGATGTGTTTCATTACGTATTACCTGTCGCATCCCTTTCGTCATGGACGGGGGCAATCCCACATACTTGCAGTATAGGGTTAATTGCACGTAAACCTAATTTTGTGGTGTGACTTTTTATCCCCAGTTGAAAAAATTGAATTCTGAGTCGAGGATCATATAGTGTTCGCCTTTTCTGAGTATGTTTTTCAATGGAAAGACTCAACACTCACATTTACATACTACTACACACTAAATATTTTCATTCATAAATCCAACCACAATCACAGCAATTTTAGCTTTTAATCGGCTTTATCTTAGCGTTTCGTTTCTGTTTTTTGTATGCGTCTCGAATGAGGCGCATAACTGTTGGATCTACAGCGCCATGCTCTACAAAGCAAAAAAATGCCTCTCACAATTTTTCAAAAGTTTGATTAGAAAAACCGATTTTTTGAACACATTTAATTGTTGACAAATACCGTCATAGTGGTGAAGAAAGAACAATACCAATAATGCTAATCAATAAAGACATCTTTCCGTCTGTTTCCCCCTCAATTGGTGGTTTTTTCGACTGTGGGTGACTTTTCGGGATTTGTGGAATTTTTTGGGATCAGTTTTGGGGTGTAATCATGGACATCCTAGCACAGCTCAAAAGTGCGTTCTCACATTGATTTTTAATGTTTAGGTAGAAAACTCACTTGAATATATAGCAAATGACTGTTCACCTCGCACCATTTTCAGCTAAGCTTCTCACATTCCTCGTGTCCACCATCTCCTGGTTTGGATCCAGACTACAATGGCGGGAAGCAGCCACGGGTTCGTGTAGAATTGCGAGGACTGAAAAACCTTGGCAACACGTGCTTCATGAATTCTGTCATCCAAGCTTTAAAGTGAGTTTCGCTCGCGCTGGAATTTCTTTTGATGTACTGATTATTTTCCGTTCAGCACAACCGATGTTTTTCGCGGGTACCTGGTGCAGCTCCCACTTCTACAGCCCGACGATGAAGTTAGCGATGAGAATCAGCCGTTGGCAAGTCCGCGGTACAATACGAGACGAGCTGCATCAGCTGTCAACACATCAACCACTACTGCGTCCACCGCAGCGCCTACGTGAGGATTCTCATTTTTACACTTGTGTTGTAACTTGACTCCTGAACTTGCGAGCAACAGACAAAGGCATTTCAAAATCTTCGGTCATGATTGGGAGGGATAATTCCGGAAAAGGCATATTGGATATTGAATAGAAGTTATTCAAACGAGGATTCAAAGGTAAAGGACTTGAAGAAGGGCATCGAAGATGCGATAAGGCGGACAGAACTTTCATTTCGTAGTTGAACATCCATCTGAAATATCCACCACATGGAGCTATGTATTCGATCGTATACCTTCCCCTTCAAAAAGCGAGAAAGTGTCGGGTGCAGACCATGCACCACAAGTGACGACGGCCTCACAAAATGTTAATGTTTCTGCCAATGAAATGATTAGCCTGTTGCAGTTGTATTCTATCGATTGTCACTAATTACAACTATCATTTACCAGAAATCACTATGAACAACTTCTAACCAGATTTACTTGGAGGCCGTCGTCAGTTGTGGTGTTTGGTCTGCACCCGACACTTTCTCGCTTTTTGAAGGGAGGTTACTTGCATTCATACCTACGTCACAGTACCTACGGTGGGAACGCACTGTGCGTTTCGTGTAGTTGTCACGCGAAGAAGTAATGCACGTGTAATTATGAAACCATATAAAAAACCGGGCTAGTGCTTGTTTTTGGATGGGTATTAGTTCGAAGAGAAAGGTCAATGAAATGGGAGTAACAGTATTGCTCTTGGACTGAGGCTAACTTCGTCCATTTTTTTCCTGGGGAGGTGAAGTAATGTGAGTGTAATGGCTTTCTGCTGTGTTATAAGAAATTAGCGTAATTAAATTGTCTCTTTGCATGAACCTGCGGTGAGAAGGTATAATTCCTCTGAATGGGGTCCAGAAACAGCGTTCCCTCCCCTGGCGAAGCGTTTTTGCGGCCCACTAGCTCGTGCTCAGGAACACCTTCTCCATAATTATAGAATAGGACTAAAGGATGAAAGCGTGAGGCTGAGCAGTAGTGGCGAGTTGCCGATGAGTGAATGGTGGTTTTTTAACGGATTCTGAATCTTTCTTCCCCATTCGTTCGCGTCACGACGAAACGACACTCGTCTAACTCGAGAATGAATAGCGAAACTGGGAGCTTTACTGATGGGGGAATGCCGTCGTCAACACTAAAATCATGTTTATTGCTACGTTTTTTGAAAGACCCACAAATTTAGAGTGCTCGCTGAAGAATTGCGGAAAGTTATGATTCGCTTGGGTGACCTTCGGTGCGATCAAGCTGTCTCGCCCGATGAGTTGTTCCAGTCAGTGTGGAAGATTTCTCCTAGGTTCAGGTTAGTTTTTGAAATTTCCCCGTTGTTCAAATCTCTTTTACAATGATTGTTACAGAGGATATCATCAACAAGACGCCCACGAGTTTCTGCGTTGTACTATGGATCGGGTCCATTCGGAGCTAAGGCGATGCCGACTACCGGAATCAGTGGACCAGTGGTTGGCCGCAGCATGTGGAGGCAGCGAATCGCCAAATGGCTCTGCAGTCACGACATTGTTCGAAGGCTCTCTGCAGAGCCAAGTGGTCTGCCTGACGTGTCACACTGCGAGCAACAAGCATGACCCCTTTCTAGGTAAGTCATATGCTTATTAAAGTAGTATTGAGATGCTTCGGCCACCTAAAAGAATGCGGATTTATTCCATTTCTCTGTTCATTCGAAAGTATGGCTATGACGAACATTTAAGACCTGTCACTCGACATATTTGTTCCCGCTGCGAATGGTCGGGCCAGCAATGTCCGATTGTCAGAATGCATAAAACGATTTTTCGCGAAGGAGGAATTAGACCATTGTGAGCAGTATATGTGCAGCAATTGCAAAGATAAACGGCCATCAACCAAACAGCTCTTTTTACGTGTGCTACCAAATGTAAGTTTTACGAGAGCGGGATCCTTGGATTACATTATTAAAGAAAGATTCTTAAGGTGTTGTGTCTCCACTTGAAGCGTTTCCGGTGGTCACATTTCAATAGAGGTAAACTCGATAACATGGTCGATTTTCCCCTAAGCGGTCTGGACATTACACCATTCATGGCGCAGGTTCGTTTGAATGGAATGCCTTGCGTAATTAAGATCATCTGTCCGATCAATGCTTAGTCTTTCGTTTACTTCGAACTTCTCTCAGAACGAGTGAGCAAAGGGAATGAGTAGGTTTCCTCGTGGAGCTGTATCATAAGGTTGTAATTTCCTATTGAGTATCTTTTCAGTGCGCAGCATCGCGTGTCGCGGAGAATTCTGGTAGTATCACCTTCGACTTGTCCTCTGTGGTTGTTCATCACGGATCAGGGTGAATTAATTTAGCAGTTCTTTGCATGATATGAGATGAGGGAGATGTTCACGTTCAGTAGACTCATCATTACCAGATGCTGTTCGAGTATCGGATGTCCTTGTGCATCCTTCATTACCTTTAGTTCTGAAATTTTGCTTCATGTAAAGCAATAGTTTTTTCAAGGGTTGCACTAGTATTCTTGATGTATACAATTAAGCTGTTTGGAAAGATACGGGTTTTGACCTCTATTTTCAAGCATACATATTCCCACTCAAATTCAACATTTTCGGTCATAGTAAAAAATAAGTTCAAAACTATTAATTTTTCTAAACAAGATGCACGCTCAAATGTCCCGCCCACATGAAAAGCCCCGCTTCTAGAGGCGCTCATCGGACGTTTCCTCACCTGAGCTCTGAAGCTTTTTTT